AAAAATCCATTTCTAGAAATTAAAATACGACATGCAATAACAGAAATTAGTAAGTTATAATAGAAATGTTACATCCTGCTATAAAAGGCTAAATTTAATATTAAGAAATGAGGAGTTCTCATATTTGGGAAAACATTCTTGTGATTAAAATGTTTCTAACTTAAGGCATCCTATTGAAATCAAAGATTTGCTTTTTTCCCATAAAAACCCAAACTGTTTTCTATGGTAAATATTTACATACTCAACACTGATTTAAAATGCTACAGCTTGCGAGCAGTCAAGAAGCAAGCACACAGGAGAGCTGGCTTGTTCACATGGAAGTGATTTACTTAGAGGCAGCACGGGCAGCTCTCTCCACAAGTGATGACTTCATTCATAGACATGTTTGGGTCACAACCAGAATTTGGTAATAACATCCAGAAACTAATAATAGTGTATGAAAAATAAGCTTAATAAAAGGAAAAAGAGAAAAATGCATCAAAAATGGTACCATGAGTTCAGAATATCTCCGTGTTTCCTTTTGTATATGGCTGGTACCTAGGAAAGGTCCTGGACACAGACCTTCTTCATAAAGCCCTAGAGCTTTGGTCTGCCTTACCAGCCTCTTCATTCCCTGAAGAGAGCTGAGGCTTAATGTTCCTACCCAAACCGTGTTAAAGCCACAGCTCCCATCCCCATGTCTTGCTGTCTTGTCCTTCCTTCTGCCACGTGATGAAGTAGCACCAAGGTCTTTATGAAACACGAGTGTTGGCTCTGCAGCCTTCAGACATTTAAGAAATACCTTTCTGTTCGTTACAGTTACTTAAGCTCAAGAATTTGGTTACAGTAGTACTGCACTGGCTGAATCACAGACACACAACAGCACTTTAAGACTATGAACGCGTCACGATGCTGTGATGATTAATCCTGACTGTTTGATGGGCTTTGAAATCATCACTGAATGTGTGTGAGTCACTTTCTAGATTAACTGGGTTAATTGGAAGTGGGGGCAGTACCACTCCACAGTCTGGGGTCCCAAACTGAATCAAAAGGAAGAAGCATTCATTCACTTCACTCATTTCCTGACTGTGGATGCAATGTGACCAGCTGCCTTAAACCTCACAGCCCCCCCCCCCCCCCCCCCCCCCCACCCCCACCTTCCCCCCCCCATTTGGTCAGGTGTTTTGTCCTAAAATGAGAAAAGTAACTAATAATAAATTGGTACAGGTAGCTGTGTCATTGCTGTGATAAACCTAAATATGTGGTTCATAGATCTTTGGATTTACAGGAAACATGTGGAACTTTGGGTAGAAACACCCTGGAAGGCTGGAAGCAGAGACTAACAGGCCATTCTGGTTAGACATGGGAAGACAGGAGTGCTCACAAAAATGTGGCCATGGAGGATTAGCTCGAAAATTTTCAGAGATAATCAAGGACTCTGATGGGGTTTGGGCTAGCATCTATTCATGTGGTAATGACATCAAGAGTATGACTGCACTCTGCCTGTTCCCTGACAACTTGAGTGAGAGTGAACACAGAAGAAATGCACTAATCTGGGTAGTGGAGGAAATGCCAAGGCAGGACAACATTCAGGCTGTGGGCTGCTTTCTTCTCTCGTCTAGTTCTCAGTGTGAGAGAGCAAGAAGTGGAGTTGAACAAGATGGAATATGTACAGTGTGGTAAGAAAAAGAGCGTCAGCAAGTTCCACCTTACAGAGGAGGCAGGTTCAAAGACGGCTGAGACGATACAGATATTGGTGACCTGAAGAGAGACCTGGACTCTACACTGGGACAATGAAAGCGTTTTGAGGGCAAGACCTAACCTATCACAGACTCCTTGTGAAAATGCAAGTCTATTTGAAAGTAGAGACTGAATTGAGGACGTCACTGAAGGGGTTCTGTGCTCTAAAGGAACTACCTAGGGGTGTATTTTCCCAGGGTCAGCAGCACACACTGCTGAGACCACTGTGGTTCAAGAAAGCCAGGCTCCACACACAGCTGCCAGCTGAACTTGGCAGCTTGGTTCACTCTGTGCTGGTTTTGCAGCTATAAAAGATGAAGGAATAAGGGTGTCAGGATAGTCTTACACTAAAATTCTAGAGAGCTGATGAAGAGAGGCAGTGTGTGGCATGGTTGCAGTCCCTGTAAAGATATCCTAAGGAGCCACTTAATGAAACTAAGAAAGTATAAATTGCAATGGGGACTCCAGGATTTTGAAGATGCCAAGAGCCTGAGAAATTCGCTGAAGAAATTTGAAGGTCAGTACTGCAGCTGGTCCAGTACTACATGTATTCTGGTTGCAAAGCTAGAGGGAAGGGGCTATTCCAGTCTTTACCCAGATGATTCTATCATGAGCCCAGAGGCAGGGCATTAAGCTGCAGGATTTAGTGTTTGCATACTAGGTTTCTGCCTTGCTTTGGCCAGGTCATTACTAGTCCATTGTTCTTCCTTTATGAAATGGGGATTGTGTTTTCTGTGCCATTGTATATTGGAAGTACATTAGTTAAGAGATTGCTCTGAGAAGGACCAGTGAAGAGCACAGAGGTCCAGACCAGGCTGGTGAAACCCACAGAAACAGCTGACCTGAACATCCGGGACCTCTTGCTCCCCAGTCTGATAGCTGGAATAGCAGCATGGGACTGATCCAGACCCCAGGAACATGGGTTTCTGTGAGGAAACTTCAGAAACCTATGGGACCTCCTGTAGAAGCCCAGAATTTATCCCTAGCATAGGTGTGGACTTTGGGAGCCCAGTCCATATAGAGGAATACTCCCTGAGCCAAGACACACGGGGGTAGGGGAGGATGGGTGGGAGAAGGGAACTGGGATTGTCATGTAAAACAATCCTGTTTCTAATTCAAATAAAAAAAAGTTGGAAAAAAAAAAAGAGATTGCTCTGAGTCTAAGGTGAGAGTTGGACTTTGGAGTTTTATATGGCGTGGGGTTGCTAAAGACTATATGGACTTTTGAGGCTGTCCTGAATGCATTTTGGATTATGGGATAGCCATGAGCCTATGGGGACAAAAGGTGGAAGGTTATGGTTTTAAAGTGGCATGGTTAGACGTCAAGATGACATAATCTGGAGTTGAAATGGTTCATCTTGATTTTCCCATTGATGATACTTAGAATATCATGGAAATAACTTCTGGACATATCTGTGGGGATTTTTGTTGTTGTTGTTGTTAGCTGTTCTAGAACGGTGAGTAATGCCAAGCAATGGGCTATGATCCCAGACCAAACTAGAAAGGAAAAACAAAGTTGAGTAGCAGTGCTCTGTTGTGAGATAGTTACACTGCATAAAGGTGTATTGCTGTGATTGGCGTAATCAGAAACTGAGTGGCCAATAGGAGGTATAGGCGGGACTACCAGGCAGAGAGAAAAAGGAGGAGGAATCTAGAGATGTCAGGAAACATGGAGAGAAAGCAGGAGGTGCAAGATGAAAGAAATGTAAAAAGCCACATGGCAAAATGTAGTTTAGTAAAAACAGGTTCATTTAAGTAATAAGAGCAAGTGGGACAAGCCTAAGTGAAGGCCAAGCTTTCATAATTAATGGGAAGTCTCTGTGTCGTTATTTGTGAGCTATTGGCCCAAAGAAAAATCAGACTACAGAATTCTTTTCATTCTGTTTTCCTGCAGTGGATGGAATGTGACCAACTGCCTCAAACACCTGCCATCCATATTTTCCTGTCACAGTGGACTGTACCCTCAAATTGTGAGCCAAATAAACCCTTCCTTCCTTACGGTGCAGGTCCCTTTCTGCCTTTTGAGTCACAGATCAATGTTATGACCATCCTGGCACTGTCATAAAGGAAGCTTTGTTAAGTGCTCTGGATTCGACTCTACAGCTGATTTCTAAAGGGCCCTAATCACTGCAATTTGATATGCAATGTTCAATTGGTTAAAACCCTCGGACGCCTATTCTAAAAACAAAATACGAGATTACATCGTGTTTTTCTAAACACTTTGCTCCATGGGACAATAGTCTTAGTAATATCAGCATTTGAATGGAAGTTTTAAATAAAAATAGCAAATAAAATATCTAAGTCTAGGAAGAAAAAAAAAAAAAAAAAACAGACATACAGTCCCCAAGTTAGGAATGGTTTAGTTTCATGACTTAAGTCATGAAACTTAAGTCATGAAATTTAAGAAAAGCAATACATTTTAAGTAAAAATGATCTTTTAACTTTAGAACTTTTCCTAGCTGGTGATAATGATGCAGTGCTCTTCCATGGTCCTGAGCAGTGCAGGGACTCAGAGCTTCGTATCACGCATGCTATCACATAGGTGAACTACAGCGTACAGTGTTGCTAGGTATGATGTTCAATAAGTTCAATACATTTTCAGTTACAATACCAACAATTTCTGATGGCTCCATCAGGAGGTACTCCATCTTAAGCTGAGGATCATCTGTATAGTAACTCATCCTTGGATTTCCACACATTGATTTAATGACTGGATGTCTGGATTTCATTTTATGTTTGCAGTAAAGGGAATCTCTTAATGCTGTTCCTTGTCACATTGTTCATAATCACAGACTTAACCATCTTTCAGACTGACTGGACTATGACCTCTTTGAAGACATAATAAAACACAAGTTAGGTATCCCTTATGCAAAAGGCTTGGGAACAGTGGTGTTTCATATTTTGGATCTTTTGGATGCAACAATATCTATACATATATACGGAGATATCTTGTAGACATGAATTGTCCTAACACCAAATTCCTTAGGTAGCTTACACACAGAATCCAATGGTAAATTTAGTTAATATTTCAGTAATAAGCTTATGCTTTGAATGTGACCTGGTATATGAGATTATGTGAAGGGCATTCCAATTCTGTATTAAGATGGAAATTTCATATTAGGTAAAGCTCATTCTCCATTGATAGACTAGAGTCCATTGTTCTCCCCTTGATCAATAATTCTAATTTTCTTACAAGAGAAATATTAATGGTCCAAGATACTCCTAAAGAATTTATTAAAATACATAACCTGAAACGGGGCATGAAGGGCAAGCATCCTTACCTGGGAAAGTTTATGCTTCTCTGGGTTTCCTCCCTTTTCATTGTGTAATGTGTAAACTGGTGTATATTGTACCAAACCAGAACAGGTCCCATAATCTTCCTCATTGTCCTACACATGAAGAAAAGTAGAATTATTTTATAATAATCTACTTTATAACTAAAGATATTTTATTAATAAAGTATCTGTTAAACATGAAAAGAAAAAAATAACACTTTAGCTATAATTTTTAAGAATCTTCCAAGGAAGAAACACTTTTCTATGGTGTGATTTAACAATTTAAAAATAATCCACACTTAAACTAGTTGAAATAAAATTTATAAAGATAAGTGTTCACCATTACGACAATGAAAGATTTTAAGTAGTTTGTTTTCTTCAAAAGTAAAAATTCAAAACACAATTTTTAATAAAATTGCAAAGATATAATATATAATCAAACCAAACACACAAATACAGATGTATAAACATTTGTATGATACCTTCAATACTCATAGGTTCAAAATCCAATTATCATATGTGATATTTTATAAATTAGGAACATTCTTCAATGTAGTACTACCAGTAACACTGGAATGAAACTATAAAACCAAAGGGTGGCATTTCTTGACTAATTCCATTCCAAAGATACTTTCTTAAAAATGGTCAGCTTGAAGCAAGATCTTCAATGATACTATAAAGGCAATCAATTTTTATGAAAATATACATCCTGTTAGAAGTATCTTTGAAGATCTCTACATTCTGTGATAAAATATGCAAATAATAAAGAGATTATTTAGTGGATGAATATAGAATAGCAGAGAGGTGCCAGATGGCTTTTTATAAAAAATACATTCTTGAACAAAGGGAAAAGCACATTTCAAAAGACATTAAAACATAAATCTCACACAGTTTGTAGAGTAGGGGCTGCAAAGTCACACAAAATCAGGGTGAAGTAAGAAGACTAAGAAGAAGACGCACCTTGTGTTTCAGCTTACTCTTTACCTCTCTTAGTCCCAGTCTGGCGTGACTCTTTGCCTAGAAAATAACAATAAGTGTATCTTGCTTCATATGCTTCTATTACAATTTCTCTCTATATATGTTATATGCTAGGTAAATATGTAAGCATTACTAACTATATTTCTAAGAAAAGAAACCAAATTATACCCCAAGTTACTATTTTATTAAGCCTAAATTGCTGGCTTAAACACACACACACACACACACACACACACACACACACACACACACACACACACACTCACACATCCATCCTGGAATCAATTGGGTAACTAATGCCCATCATTAATTTAAAATAGTCACCAACAAGAAACAGACAAAATGAACCACAGGATTAAGTTCTTTGGGCAAATCTTTAAGCATCAAGAAATTCAAGGAATTTTAGAAAGTGTTATTAAAGTGCTTTTTCAGATAGGTATTTACTAGAATGAGCATCTTAATGGTGTGGCTAGTTCACACAGATTTTCCAACAAAAATTAGAAGTCACTGAAAAATCTCACACTATCCTCATACATCTTTAGGATTTGTCCTCATGGTTGAGTATCTCCACTCTGGCTACAAATTGTGGGGTCCAATTTAAGGCAACTGGGACTTTGTTGCACTGGAGATTTTTACTCACAGTGTTTGTCATAAAAACCGAGAAAGGCTCCTGGCATTGGGGGTGCACACCTTTAATCCCAGCATTCAGGAGGCAGAGGCAGGAGGATCTCTGTGAGTTCCAGGCCAGCCTGGTCTACAGAGCAAGATCCAGGACAGGCTCCAAAGCAATACAGAGAAACCCTGTCTTGAAGAGAGAGAGAGAGAGAGAGAGAGAGAGAGAGAGAGAGAGAGAGAGAGGGGAAGCCTCATTGATTTTGTTTCCTGGCTGTGTGCTGGCTGCTCAGATACACTGAATTGTTTGTTGCAAAATTCCAAGATTATGCCGCTATCCAGACACCTTATAAAAAAGGACAGTGACCAAGGAAGACTACATCTACATAGTCTAGATTAAATATGGGTTATATTTTCTTATGAAGTCTAACTCGTTCTCTTTTCTTTTCTTTTTTTTTGTCTTTTGTTTTTTGTTTGTTTGGTTTTTTTTTGGTTTTTTTTTGTTTGTTTTTTTGTTTTTTGAGACAGGGTTTCTCTGTGTAGCTTTGGAGCCTATCCTGGCACTCACTCTGGAGACCAGGTGGCCTTGAACTCACAGAGA